AGTGCAGAATTAAGGTACCAGAGTGGAAGGGAGGATCTTTGACTTGGGACTGGCATGGGGCTGCAAGGAGGGCACAGCTTGACATCCAGTACTAACAATTCCTTTGCTGTCTAGATCCCACTCCTTCCTCAATTCAAACTCAGCAGAGGCGGTGGCCATGGGCTTGCTGAAGCAGTTTGAGGGCATGCAGCTCCCAGCTGCCTCTGAATTGGAGTGGCTGGTCCCTGAGCATGATGCCCCACAGAAGGTAAGTCTGTGAGTTCCTGTCACTGATTGCATTTGATCTTCCCGGAACCCCTGGCTTCAGGGCACTGCTGAGGGGGTTTGCTTGTCCCAGTGGTCTCTTTGTGGAGCTTGAGGAGGAGGTTGGAAATGGATGCAGCCTCCTCCAGCAGTGTCCAGGTCCCTGGGGGACAGCCCTTCTTCAGCCCCCAATTCAGCTGAGGGGCGGCTTGGTGCCTGGCAGTTCTCCAGAGGACTGCGGTTGCGGGTTTCTGGCAGTCCAGCCAGGTGCACTGCCTACAAGATGGGAATCTGACCCTCTTGCCTGCCTCTCCCAGCTGCTGCCCATCCCTGACTCTCTGCCTATCTCTCCTGACGATGGAGAGCACGCTGACATCTACAAGCTGAGGATTCGGGTGCGCGGAAACCTGGAGTGGGCCCCGCCGCGGCCGCAGATCATCTTCAATGTTCACCTGGCCCCAGCGTAAGGACCCGTGTGCCTGGGGGCTCTCAGGGGACCTGCCCTTCCCATCCCTTCCCCATCCACACCAAGGGTGCTTATCCTCTGGTTGCTGGGGTTTCCCTGCTCTGAGCCTGGTAAATCCACAGTGGTCACCACTGTGAGATGGTGAAATGGAGGCAGTGCCTGGGGTTAGAGCCTTTGGTGTGATCCAGGACATAGTGGGGCTTTTTCCCTTGGGTGTATTGTCCCCATAAACCTCCCAGGCCTGTGCTGGTACCAGGTACCACCAGGGCTGGGTCATGCATGTTGTCTTCTGTGTCTGGGCAGGAGAAAGGTGGCTGTGGCCAAGCAGAATTACCGGTGTGCAGGCTGTGGCATCCGGACTGACCCTGGTGAGTATTGGGAGCCTGAACTGAGCTGGAGAGTGATGGGGAACTGCAAACAAGTGGGAAGATGCTGAGTGAATGGGTGTTGGTAGGGCTCAGCATAAGGTCCCTAGAGCAGTGCTACACTGCCTTTGCCAGCTCTGCCTGCACATTGGTGTGCACCATCCACAGAGGAGCCTTTTCTTCTAGGAGGTCACAGAGCTGGTGGAGGCAAAGAGCAGCCAGCTCGTCCTTTAGAGGGCATTTCAGATGTTGACTCTTGTAAGGCAGTCTCATGTTGGGTCCTCAAGCTCCCAGCTAGTTGTGCAGCTGCAGAGCTCTTCCCTGAAGATGTAGGTAGATGTGGTTGCACGAGACTGGACTATTGGTCCCAAAGGCTTTTGCAGTCAGAGAGTGCTTGCAGAGCCCAGTACTGAGCACTCTGGCACACTTTCCTTGCTTGTGGGAAACGCTGAGCAGTGTTGGGAGTGCAGCAGAGGCCGTGCCTGGGCTGACCTTGCCTGTCTGCCTGGGCTTGGCCAGATTACATCAAGCGGCTGCGGTACTGCGAGTACCTGGGCAAGTACTTCTGCCAGTGCTGCCACGAGAACGCCCAGACCGTCATCCCCAGCCGCATCCTGCGCAAGTGGGACTTCAGCAAGTACTACGTGAGCAACTTCTCCAAAGACCTGCTGAGCAAGATCTGGAGTGACCCACTTTTCAACGTGCAAGCTATCAACCCTGCCCTGTACCAGAAAGTGAAGGCTCTCAACCAAGTGAGGGTAAGACCCATTCTGTGCCTCCTGAGTGGAGTTTGGGTGAGGTGGATGGCAGCAAACTGGAAGCTGTATTTCAGGGAAGCTGGGGAAAAGCAGCTATTTCAGTTTTGGAGGCTTAAAATCTCATCACTGTGTCTTTCTATTCATGTTTTCTGATTTCTTCAGTGGCATAGGAATGTCAAATTCATAGGAAAATCAAATAGGAATTTCTGGCTGGTATCCAGCTGGGCTTCAGTTTATCTCCTGGATAAACTGGAGCACATGACGGTGGTTGTGCTTGCCTTGCCCTGTGTGATGTAAGTACCTTGGAAACAAGGGAGCAGCAGCTGAGGGGCAGCAGCTATTTCAGCAGCACAGGGAATGGGACAGACTTGCCTGGGCGAGGACCATGCTCTGTTTACTGATTCTTTGTGCCTCTTCCTCTCCAGCTGCTGCGAATCCAGCTTTTCCACATGAAGAACATGTTCAAGACGTGCCGGCTGGCTAAAGAGTGAGTGCTGGGCTGCTCTGCTGTCCTGGTTCTGTCCCAGGCAACTTGCACTGGGAATCTGTGCAGCTTCTGCACTGAGCTCTGGGGAGAAGGGGGCCTGGAGGGGGAGAGAAAGCACAAGGAGTGAAGGGAGGGGTCTTACTGGAGTCACTTTGCTCTGAGCTCTGGTTTCTCTGTCCTCGCAGCCTCCTGGACTCCTTTGACACAGTGCCTGGCCACTTGACAGAGGATTTGCACCTCTACTCGCTGAGTGACTTCAGTGCCATCAAGAAAGGGGACCTGATGCCTCGCCTGACAGAGCTCCTGAAGGCAGGCAGCCTGCACATTGACAAGTGCATGGTAAGGCCTCCTCTCCTGCCTCCTGCATGGCTCTGGACCCTTGGGAGCAGGCTTTGCTGCAAAGATAACTGATGGGGAGGCTTTGGTGTGCAGAGCAGCCACCAAATTAACTGATTCAATGCTAACTGTTCCTGCCTGCTTTACAGAGCTCCTACCCAGCACAAATGGGATATTTGCTACCCTGTTTTGGTTTTCCCTCACCCCTGACACAGGTTGATTCAGCCTTCTTGTGCTCCATGCTGGGGAAGGGCTGTCCCACATGGTTAGAGCAGGGCACTGTGGCCTGCTGTCTTGCTCCACTCTGCCTTCTGTCCTACTTGCCAGAGAGATGAGCATTTAGCTGCTTTTTCTTTGTTGTTTTTCCTTCCAGCTGTGCCAAGCCAAAGGCTTCATCTGTGAGTTCTGCCAGAATGAGGACGACATCATCTTCCCCTTTGAGCTCAACAAATGCAAGACGTGTGAAGGTGAGATACTGGGGAAAAACAGGGAGGGGACAGACCCTGGGACCACCAAGGTCTGCTTCCAGTTTGAGTGGCATTTGTGTTGGCAAGAGGTACAGAGCTGTAGCTAGCCAGACCAGAGTTCCTCTGTGCATGGTCTGTGTCTGCAATGTTACAACAGCAGCAGATCATCATTGTCACAGTGTTTGGTAACATGGTAAAGCATGTAGGTCCCCTCCTGACCACGCTCTGTGCTGCCTGCCCTGGCAGCTGTGGGCAGTTGGGCTGTCACTGCAGGGAGCAGGTGTCTGGGAGCCCTGGCTTCCCTCCTGCTGCAGTTACAGGACAGGCTGCAGCCTGCACACAGCTCCCCTGCCCTGCTTGGATGGCTGGAGCTGAGCTTGCAGAGCAGAGAGAGCCTGAAGGCTTTATCTCTGTGCCCTTCCTGCCTGCTAAGAAATCCCTAGGCCTCTTCAGGGACATCCTTGATAATGCCCAGTATTAATGGCTGAGTAGAGCGTGGCCCTACATCTTGGGACCAGCCTCTGAACTGGCATGAAATGGCTCCTGACAACATGCAAGCCTTGGTTTGGCAGGTGCAGTGCCAGACAAAACTTGGGACCAAGTCACTGTTTCCTTGGAGTATCAGGAAAGCTTGGGGAGGGACCTTGTGCAGAGCAGAAATCCTCCCTCCTGTGCTTCCAAAGCTCATGAGCTAGTGAGGCACCTGGGTTGTGGAGTGTCAGGCAGCCTGTCCCAGCACTCAGCCATGCTCTCCCTCACAGAGTGCAAGGCCTGCTACCACAAGTCGTGCTTCAAGAGCAGCCGCTGTCCGCGGTGCGAGCGGCTCCAGGCGCGCAGGGAGCGGCTGGACAGGCAGCGCACGGAGCCCGACAGCTCGGACTGCGAGGGGGAGCTGCAGCTGCCAGAGCCAGGGCCAGCCACGTGAGCACCAGCAGCCAAGGAGCAGATCATGGGTTTGTTATGTGCATGGCCTTCATCACAGAGACTGAGCCACACGGACTGGGCATGAGGACTGCTGGGAGGCCTGGAGCACTGTCCTGAAGGGATTTCTTTCCACAGTTCTGCTGGGCTGGGAAAGGAGCATATTCCACCGTGTGGATCTGCTCCAGGTACCACTCCAACTCCCTGATGCCTTTGCTTGCTCCTGCCTGTCCTGCAGGCAGAACAGGGACCTTTTCCGAGCAGTTGTTCATGTTGGACCCAGCAGGGCTGTGCTGTCCATCCCTGTGGGTCCCCTGAAGGGTCAGCACTCACTGCTCATCAGCTGTATACTAGGAAGCTCTGGTCACATCTGCTCCTTGGAGGAGGGAATCAGGTCTCAGCCCTGTGATCCTCCATTCTGCTGCTGGGGGTTGTGTGCATGGAGGGAGGGTGGGGTTTGGGGTTGGTTGTGTATTTAACAGCTCCCTTTCTCAAATGTGCTGTGGGACACTGCTGGAGAGCAGTTGCTCTCACTCCAGAATCAGAGCAGAGGACGTGGCAATGATGAAAATGCCAGATTTCCCTGTGCTGCAGAGGGACATTGCCCCTGGAGCAGCTGCACAAGTGGATGTGCTGATGGACTTTTGGCAGGGAGATCCCATGGCTCCATAGAAATCTGCCTCCATGGGACATGGTGAGGCTTCTGACCCTACTTCCTCCTCATGCTGCCAGTTTGTCCTACCAGGGAGATACGTCCTCCTTTAAGGACGACATGGGACCTCACTCTGGTGGCACCAGAACCTGCCTTGTGTGGAGCTGCCTCTCTGCCTGAGACCTGTCAGGATGCAGGTGAAGGCTCATCCCTCCAGCTGCATCCCCAAGCCTCTGTTTAGTTGTGTGTTTTTCTTTTTTTAATCTGCTGGACTTGGTTTTATTTTTTTAATGTGATTGTTTGTATTTTTAACTGTGTGTTCCCCTCAAGGAGGTGCTGCTTGAAATGCCTTCTTCGGGGGCATGTGATCTGCTTGGGACTCAGCAGTATAAAATCTCCAGGGCTATCCTGCTCCTGGTTCCTCACCCCTGGGTGGAGCTGATCCCCTCTCCCAGCAGGATCTCCTGCTTCCTTTGGGGCAGGAAGGGTCCCTGAGCCAGGCAAAGCTCTGAAGCTTCCCAGCTGTGCTGTGGTGGGATGGTCAGGCAGCCTGATTGCAATGGGGATACCCAGGGGAGGGGTTTGGCACTGGGGTGCTGCCAAGGACTGGTTCCTCACTGATGCACCTGTGTCATCTGGCACAAGTGACAGCTCTGCAGGGTCAGGGTCAGACCTGTGGGACAAGGTGAGCTCTGTGCCCAGCTGAGGAGGTGCCTCTGCATCGTGGGGGGATGCTTTGGCCATGGCATGTGCAGCACCTGAGCACAGGTGGGATGTGGAGTGCTAGGAAGGATGGTGTGGCCTGTGTATGTGCAAGGAGGGTGTTGAGGGACCAGAGAGCAATGCACTGGCAGGAGGCCTCAAGGGGCAGTGGCTCTTTCAGCACATGCCCTGATTCGAGGCTGGGATGTGACTTACAGGCTCTCCCTGAGGGAGTGGCAGGGTTGGGGAGAGGGGAAGAGGCTGGGTCCAGGAGATGTGGCTGCAGCCTTGCTGCTGAGGGCTGGGCTGCGGCATCTCTCCCCTGCCTGCAGCACCATGACCAAGTCCTGAAAGCAGGGCTCAGCTCCCCACTGGCTCCCCTGGGATTTTTACTGCCTTGTGTCTTGCTTCTGCTTTTTTTCCTCAGAAGAGCAGCTGCTCTTCTCACTGTCTCTGCAAGCCCTGGGGCTGCCAGATGCTGGTCTGCCTTGGTCTTGCCTGTCCCCAAGCCCAAGCCAAGCCCTCCTGCTGCTGCTTGGATCTGGGACCCCCTTCCCTGGAGTTGCCTCAGCAGCACACCTCCATCCACCCTATTTTGTTTGAAGCACTTTAACGTCATGGGACAGCAGCTGAGAGGCTGCCCAGATCCCTTTCTAAAAGCACTGAGTACTTTTTGAGAAGAGGGAAGGAATTCTGGCTTAGTTATGGTTCCCACCCTCCACCATGGACTGTGTGGAAGCAGCAGGACCCCCAAACCTGGCACAGGTCTCCAGGGCAAGCCTGTGCCCAGCACTGACACTGCTGCCCAGCACTGACCACTACAGCTAACACTGGAACTGGCCACGACAGGAGCTCTGGGAGGGAGAGCTGGGGGCTGCCCTGGCCCTCAACTGGAGCCCTCACAATGGGATTGTTATTGTAGAGCACAGCAATTAAATGCCGTCCTTAATAAACAACGTTAATAAGGAGTCTGGTTGTGTTGTCACGTTGTTTCAGGTGGGGCAAAGGTGTGTATCCCACCTGGAGGTGATGGGGCAGGCAGGGAGTGCTGCTGAGCAGTGGAAGGGACAGCTCATGTAGCTGGTGATGCAGTCACTGGGAGGGGGTTATTGTCACTACCCCTTGACTAATTAATCTGGTTTGTGGCCTGCCCCTGCAAACTGCCCACTGGATTCAGGGCAGGAGGTGCAAGGCACTGAGTGAGGGGCTCTCTGTAATGTCTGTCCCCTTCCAGAGCCAGCTTTTGCTGCTGGGAGAGGGGCCTGGCTTTGGCTGCCCTGTCCATGCTTGCATCCCCATTCCACACCAGCCAGCTCTCCCTTCACAGCAGTGTTGTGCACCTCCCCATAAACACCATCAACACAGGTGATAAAAAATGTAAACTTTAAAACTGTTAAAAAATGAGAGCCTAGCACTGGCTTCATAAAGAGCCTCTTCCTGGGGGCTTTTCCCTAGAAACACTCTGCTCAGCCCAAATCTCAGCTATGATTACCAGCAGCAATGATGACCTGGGCTACTCCTGAGGCCTTGGTTGTAGAAAGATTTCTGGCAGGCACAGGCATGCTGAGGATAGGCTCTCACAGCTGCCAGCAACCTTGTGCCAGTGGAAGGGCTCCAGTAGCTGCCCCAGTGTGACAACTTGAGCAGTGGGTGATGGCAAAGACCTGCAAAACCCTGGAGCGTGCTGCTGCTACAGGGGGCCCTTTGATATCCCAGAGTGACCCCTGCAAGCTGGCAGCTGGGCCCAGGCACATCTGCCCAGCCCAGAGGGTGTCACTGGGAATGTGTGGGGCTGTAGCGACGCTCAAACTGCTCCACGTCGAACTTGCGCTTGCAGCCGGCGTAGTTCATGTAGCGAATCTTGCCGAAGATGGGCCGCTCCGCCCAGCCCTGGTCGTGAATGCCACAGATGGACCACAGGCAGCCTGCCAGGCACAGGGACACTGATGTCAGCTCTCCCCCTTGCTCATGGACACCCAGAGAGCAAGGGGGATCTGAGTGCAAGGCAGGATGGGCTGGAGTTGCCTGCAGAGAGCCCCCACTGCAGCCCTGGCCACCCAAGCTAAGGCCTCCCAGCCCGTGCCCCCAGCCTGCAGCTTGCCTACGTATCCATTGGGGTCCCTCCCGTCCAGCTCATAGCGGTCGTTGAGGTAGATGGCAAACTGCAGGGCCTCCTCAGGGGAGTGCGTCCACTCCAGGATCTTCTTGGCCCAGTACATCCGCAGGAAGCCGTGCATCTTGCCCTCCCGGACCATCTGCAGCTGCAGGGATGGAGACAGCCATGAGGGTCAGGCCATGGCAGGTCACCTCCATGCCTCAGAAAAAATCTCAGCATTTTGTGGGGAAGATGTAGGGCAGTACCTGGGCAGCATTCCAGAGTGGGTCATGTGTGGTTCCCTGCTCCAGCTCCTGCAGACTGTACAAATAAGGCCTCTTGTCTTTGGCATGGACCTTCAGGGTGGTTTGTGCCCAGTCATAGGCACCTGTGAGCAAGAGATGAAGGGCAACACTGAGCAACCTGTTCTGCAGGGTGCTGAGAACCAGTCTACTGAGGCCACTGTGCCCTGGAGGCACCAGTCTTGAAGAGGGCACTCGTCAGCTTCTGTCCTACCTCCAGAAGAGACCAAACAATGGGACATTAGTGCCCCCACAGCCCTTCTCCTAGCAGAACTGGGATTGCCAAGTTGGAGTGAGCAGCTGGGCACCCAGCATGACCCAGGATGTTACCCTGCACACTGTCGTAGTTCTCATTGTAGTAGCAGAAGTTTTCGGCCAGCTCCCGCCGCACCACAGCCTCCTCCACGAACGCATCCACCGAGTCCTTGTAACTGCGCCGCTGCTTCTGCACCTCCAGGATGGCTCTTTGGGTGGAAACCTGGCCTGGGGACATGGGGAAGCACCAAGTCAGGCTGCTGGTCCAAGCTACAGTGCTCAGTCCTGCTGCAGAGTGAGAAGCCTGGGACACTCACCAAAGTGAAGCCACGGGGAGAGGTTGCTGAGAGCCGCCTTGTTGGGATCATTCCTGTGGCTGCTGAAGGATTTCAGCCGCTCTGCAATGAAGGACTTGAGCACAGCCATCCCTGCAGCTGTGCCAGGGGTTGCCCACTCCACTTCCTTCACGGTGTGGTCCACCTCCAAGCTGGAATAACAGGCCTCCCAAGCGATGGGCTGGGCGGCAACCAAGCAGTGAGTCATCTGCAGAATCTCTTCAGTGAGGGCTGCCCTGAATGTTATGTCCCCAACCAGCAAAGTCCCCAGTCCATGCCAGCCTCTTCCTTTTAACTAGCCCTCTGCATGGCAGAGATGTGGGAACTGAATGAATGAGGTGGGAACCTCCCTTTCCCCAGGGCATCCTCATCTCCACACCATCTGTGTGTGACCTCAGGCAGGTCACTGTCCTTATTCCCTGCCAACCCCTCCCAGGATCACAAAGGACTTATGAAACACTCTGAGACCTGCCCATGAATGGGTTTGAGTGTCTCCTACTGGTACCTCTGCTGGGCAGGAGGGCGGATGTGGGTGACGAACAACAGGGGGAAACTCCGTGAGGAATTCGGGGAGCTGAGCGTGGATCTTGCCCCGGATGGTCCTGGCGCTGTACTCCTGCTTGGGGGAGGCAACCCAGCAGGGCACAATGTTGTGGGCATCAACCTGGCAGCAAAGCAGAGGAGAAGGGTGTGAGAAGCAAACAATCCTGGCAACACAACACATGTGTTCTCTGCTCAAGTCAGACACAGGAGACAAGTTTGTCCCACATCTCACCAGCCAGTTTCCCATTCCCAGAGTGCTGGCACCCACCTGTGCAAATGGCACATCCTCTGGCAAGCGTTCCCTGACTTCCTCTACCCACTGCCGGGGGAGGCGGAGGGGACTGAAGTCTGTCACCAGCCCACCCACGCCATGCTCCGTCACAAACACGGGCAGCACATCCTTGGCATAGCCCAGCAGCAAGTGGAAGGAGATGTTCAGCTCTGCACACTCCTGCAGCGACAGGGAAATGGCTGTGGGACAGTTCATGGCTCTGCAAATCCTACCCAAGCAGCATCTGCTGAAGGGATGGATCTGCCTCCCCCTTCCCCATCTGCCCTGTCCCACCCAGCACGGACATCCCGTGGCTGTACCTCTGCTACCTCCTGCAGGCCCCTCAGCATGAACCTGTAGTGGCGAATGGTGGCCTCCAGAAATTTGGGCACCAAGCAGAAGCAGACGTGCAGAGGCAGCTCCTGTTTGAGGGCCAGGCGCTGGGCGTAGAGGAAAGCCCAGTTATCTGGGGAAAATACACAGGGCAGCGTCAGGAGGGTGCTCCACCGACAGGATGGGGATGGGGTTTCACAGGAAGTTTCCCCCCAGACCCCCCTATAGAGAGTGGGGCCAGCACCAAAGTTATCGAAGGAGGGACCAGCGCTTTTACTACCCCTGGGAGCCCCTTCCACCAGCCGGTTCTCACCTTGCACTCGCTGATCCCGGCACATCCAGTAAAGGATGCACCGAGCATCATCCTTCAGGTCCGAGCCCTGCGAGACAAGGCGAACCCGCTTTTTGTTGTACTTGAACTCTCGAACGGACGGGGCCGCCCTCCGACGGGCCTCCTGTATCGCCTCGTCTCCCTCCGTCCTCCTCCGATTCACGCACGGCACCTCCGTGGCCTCGGCCTTCCGCTTCCCCCGTGCCCGCCGCATCCTCAGCGCCGCCCGGAGCAGCGTGGCTGCGCTGCCAGAGGAACACAGGCCGGACTGATTCCCGCGCTTCCCGGGAATCCCGGGCCCGGCCCGCCCCCAGAGCCCGGGGGATGCCGGTCCCCTGCCCGTGCTGCTCCTCGGGAACCGGGCAATAACGGTGTTACGGTCCCCGGCCCGGTCCCTCTTGGTGTCCATACCTGGGCTCCGGGTGCGGGTGCGGGTGCCGGTGCCGATCCCCACTGGCAGCCACGCGGCCCGAGTGTTACACAAGCCGGGGCGGGCGCTGAGGGCCTGCCCACGGGCGTGGCCGTGTCCCGAGGGGCGCGGCTCCGCCACCGGCACCGCCCCCACACAGGGGCGCAGGTGCTGCTGCCATGCCCCCGGCGCGCCCAGGGCGCTGCACCTGCCCCGGGAGGGGTGTCCGTGCCCGCTGGTGCCTCCTCTCCGTCCGCCCGGGAACAAGGAAGCAGCTCCAGCTACCTCCAGCCATCACTCGGCAGCGTAGTTCCCTGCTGGCGCCTTCCCCGCGCCCTGTGCCCTCGGGTCCCTCACCTTGCAAGGCCTTGGGGCGCTGGCTTTGGACATGACTCGGGGCACGGCAGGGCTGCCCCTGCTGCTGCTGAGCCTCGCTATGCTGGATCTCTCACTGGGTAAGGGCTGAGCGGTGTGTGGAGATATCCATGGGGTGGGGGGATGAAGGAGGAGCGTCGTACTCCAGGGTGGTGGCAGGCCCTGGGGTGGCTTTGCCCACTGAGGTGAAACACTTTGGATGCTGTTTGCTCTCCGACATCCCTGTCCTAGTGAGCAAACAGGGCAGTGCTTTATAGAACACAAGCAACGAGCTCTATTTCTTTGCCTCTGATGTGGGTCTCCATCTGGGAAGAGAAGACCTTAGGCTCATCTGGACCCCTTGCTGAGCCTTGGTCCTTGCTGGGCTCATTGCTTTTGCTAAAATCTGCCCAGTAGGCCCTGCCCAGATGGCAACTTCACTGGGAGGTACTAGGCCTGGAGACCTTCAAATGCCATCCCAACATTTGCACTTGATGCAAAAAGCAGTGTTGAGTGGAGCACTGGGAATAAACCTGCAGCTTCTACCTCCTGAGAGCCTTGACCTGCAGTTATAGCTCCCCTCCTGCTGCACCCCTCAACCCCCTCCCAGAGCTTTTGTGGGTTGCAACAGGTCCCTCATGGACATGCCCTGAGCTGCAAGCTGGGGTTTGTTCCTTTGTGGGGCTAGTTCCACAAAGCACTTCCCCATTGCCATTATTTACACCCACTGCTATCAGTTCCTGACTATCTGCAGCACAGAAGGTTTGTTTAAACTGCTGCTGCTGCACTTTCAGACTGTCTCACGGTCACCAGTTCCTGCTTGGCTCTTCCTGTCAGACGGGTTTGTCTGACTTCCTCCAGGGAAGGGTGAAGATGGGTGAATGGGTCTGAGGACTGGTGGCCAGAGGAGTTTCTGCCCTGAAACCAGCAATGGCCATGGCTTGTTCCTGCTTTGTCAGGCTGGGGGTTTATGTGGTCAGCCTGGCTGATTTTCACGTTGCTGTTCAGGGAATCCACGTGATTGGTCCATGCAGGACAGGGAATCCCCACTCCTGATGATCCATGGCTGATGCAAGACTTGGGCAGTTCATGGTGACAGTAATATTGCACCATTCCCAGCACAGCCGTGGTCCCAGCCTTTCACTGCCAGCCCTTGTGTGCTGTCTCCCACCTCTTTGCAGGGACCACTGTCAAAGATATGACAAACCCTACATCTCTGAGTCTCCCAAATTCCTTGACACCCACAGAGACCATGGCACCACTGGCCAACACCAGCTCAAGCACTGCAGCCACCTTCCCTTCCTCTCGTCCTGCAACCTCCACCCCAGAGATGCCAATGGATGCCTTCACACCCAGTGCTCCTGCAGCTCAGCAGAGCAGCCTGGCAGCCTCCAACATCACCACACCACAGGCAAGGGGCAGCAGAGCTGACAGCGCTCCTGGGTCACCTAGGCTGGCACCCAGCACCAGCAATACCCCAGCAGGGCTGGAAACCACTGCCAGCAGTACCCCAGCAGAGCTGGGGCTCACGACCACCAGCACCACCCCAGGAGGGGTGGAAACCACCACCAGCACCACCCCAGGAGGGGTGGAAACCACCACCAGCACCAGCCCAGGAGGGGTGGAAACCACCACCAGCACCACCCCAGGAGGGCTGGAGCTCAGCACCACCAGCACGTCACCTCCAACCTCCATGGCCATGACACCCAGCTATGACAAGAGTACCACTGTCATGTCTGTGGGGACCAGCACAGCCCTGGCTGCCAGCTCATTTGGAGTTGAAACGAGCATGCTGCCTCCCTCCACCTCTGCTCTTCTCTCCTCCATTGGGCTGGGCACCACGCTTGGCACCAGCCCCCGCCAAGAGCCAGCTGTGACCACACTGCTTGGCAGCACGTCCCCAGGGACCAGCACCATCTCTTCCTCCACCACGCCAGAAGTGACAGACACTTCAGATGGGCCCTTGACGACCCCATCAGACACCATGACCTCCCTTGTTACCACCACACAGGTCCCTGGGACCACCCCTGGTACTTCTACCCCAACAGAGCCAGAGACCCCCAGTGATACTGCAGGTGAGTGCAGCCACAGGGCACCTGAAGGGCAGGATCAGGGTGGTAAATCCCCACAGGATCTCCCATCTTGCTCAGCCAAGCACTTGGCTTCTTCCCCCAGGGGCCACCTGGTCTCCAGGCTCTGCAGGGCAGTGGCTGGGTGCTGGGGTGGGACCTGTGCTGTGGTGTGACAGTGCTGCCGTGTGGCTGTGCCCCCAGAACTGAGCCTGTGTGTACACACCCCCATGTGAACCAGCTGTGTACCCTGTACCCCAAGGAGTGTGATGTACCCCTGCAGTCCCCCAGGCAGCTGTCCCCTGGCAGTGCAGCCTTTCTGGGCACCTGTGTCCTGTCACTGTGGCTGTGTCCTGGTGGCTGTTGCAGGAACCTTTATCCTGGCACTGCAGATGTGCTCTGGTGACAGCCCATCCCATGCACCTCAACCAGGACAGGGACACTGTACCCTGTCCCAGTACCCCTTGCCATGCAAACATTCCTGGTGTCCCTGTACCCCAGCAGAGCCTCTGTATCCTCACAGAGTACCTGCAGCACCCGTGCCTGTGCAGTGAGAGCCCTTCATTAGAGTGCCAGCACCCTGGTGGTGCCCTCTGTGTGCCTGTGCCCTGGCAGTGCCCCCATGCAGCTGCTCAGCAGCAGGGTGGCCATGCCCTGACAGTCCTCCAGCATGCCTGCCTGCCTGTGGAATGCCATACCTGGCTCAGGGCCTGCTCTTGTCCCTGAGCCCAGAAGGAGGAAGCAGCCCCAGCCGTGCTCCTGGGCCGTGCTGTGACACGGGGAAGTGATGCCTGCACAGACAGCCCAGGGGACAAACCCTCAGCCTGGGGCACGCCCTTCCTGAGCTGTGTGCCTGTTCCCTGGCCAGCTCCTCGGCTCACACAGAGCTGGCTGTTGTCTCCTGAGGGCGTTGGTGCCGGGAGCCAGCACCAAACATCACCCCCGCGGCGGAGCGCGGGTTCCAGGCAGCCTGGAGCATTCCTGGGCTCTTTCCCGTTGTCACCCTCCCCACAGCAGGCAGAGGACGGCCACAGGAGCCAGGTCTGTAGTAGTGGTGGCCTTGGTGGCTTGTCCTGCCCACTTTTTGTGGCTGTTGTGGGTCCAGCCGTGCAGTTGATGTTTGCTGGGCACTGCACCAGTCCCTGGGAGTGTCCGTGCCAGGTGGAAGCCGCTGCCTCGCTGCCAGCACCTGGAGGGTGAAAGGACCCAGCTGGATGCTCCTGCTCTGCTGGGTGAAGGAGACCTGGAAACCCCAGTGCTGGGGCTGTGGGGAGCACTCAGAGCAGTGCCCGTGGGGGTTTGTCAGCTCCTGCTCACCTGGACATGGCTGGGCAGAGAGGAGGGCTGGCCCTGCCCCTGCTCTGGCCCCTGCTGCTGCTGCTGCTGCTGAGCCTCACCTGCCTCTCCGTGCTGCACCTGGTTCTGGGTAAGGGCTCAGTGGGCTGCAGTGCTCTCTGCTGGGTGGGTGGTGAGTGGGGAGCATCATTCCCAGCATGGAGGGGTGGCACCTCTGGGGTGCAGGGGGGTGGGATGCTGTGGGGTTGTTTCCTGCTTCTTAAATGGGAAGCAGAGGTGGACTTGCTGCTTCTCCCTTTGTGAGGATGAGGCCCTTCTGTGCAGATGCTCACCTGGAAAGGGCTAGGGTCAGACCTTTGCCCTTCTCTGTATTTTTATTTACCCAGCTGCTGTGTGCAGAGAGGGCCTGGCTGCCAGGGGCTTTGGAAGTTTCTGGCTGGCTTGGCTGAAAGCAGATGGCAGCTTGTGTTTCAGTTTTGCATTCTCATGCAAGCAGAGCCCCAGACTCACTGGGTTTGTGCTGGGATCACTGGGGAATCCAGTCTGGTATCCCAAAGCCACCCCCTCACAGACACCCCTGGACAAAGGTCCAGGTAGCCAGGCTGTCCTGCCTGTCCTGTGGAGAGGGTTACAGATCCCTGGGCTTTTCTGGGGACAGCACACTGCTCTGGTACAGTGCACAGTGGAAGAGAGGACATTCCTCCTGTGCCCCACCCGCTCCCTCCCAGAGCCTTTGTGGGTCACAGCACGTCTGCTCATCCTGAGCTGCAGGCTGGGATCTGTTCCTTTGTGGGGCTGCTTCCCCCCTGCCATTATTTACACCCACTGCTATCAGTTCCTGACTATCTGCAGAACAGAGGGTTTGTTTAAATTGCTGCTGCTGCACTTCCAGACTGTCTCAGGTCACCAGTTCCTGCTTGGCTCTTCCTGCCAGACGGGTTTGTCTGACTTCCTCCAGGGATGCGTGAAGATGGGAGAATGGGTCTGAGGACTGGTGGCCAGAGGAGTTTCTGCCCTGAAACCAGCAATGGCCATGGCTTGTTCCTGCTTTGTCAGGCTGGGGATTTATGTGGTCAGCCTGGCTGATACCCACTGAAGAGATCTGTGTGTTTGATCCATGCAGGACAGTGAGCTCCCCCTCCCAGTGCTCCATGGCTGATGCAGCTCTGAGTTCCTGGGGGAGCTCACTGTGCTGGTGATGCTGCACCAGCACAGCCATGGACCCAGCCCTTCACCAGCAACCTTTGTGCATCTCATTGTCCTCACTCTTTGCAGAGACCACTGCCCTGGGTGTGACAGCAACTGTGTCCCCAGCTCTCCCTACCTCCTCAGCACCCATGGAGAGCTCAACACTGCTGCCTACCACTGACTCCAGCACCACAGCCACCCTCCTTTCCTCCAGCCCTGAAACAGAAGCCTCCACCCCAGAGGAGTCCAGCACATCCACAGAGACTGAAAACACCTCACCTTCCACTGTGCTTCCTCCCTCCACAACTACAGAAGATTCATCTGAATCTACAGAAGAGACCTTGGCAACCCTGGCAGACACCACAGCCAGCCCTGTTATCAGCACATCAGACCCCATGGGCACTCCCTCTTCCAGCTACCCAGACAGGACCACTCCTGACATCTTCCCCTCAACTGTGGAGTCAACTCCAGGTACCCTGACAGTGTCTGGGACCCCCAGTGCAGCTGTGTGGGTTCAGCTGGGGGGCACCTCAAGGCAGGGACGTGGTCAGGGTGACAAATCCCCATAGGAATTTAATGTACTTGGGTGGCTTCACACAGGTGGCTTCACCAGGCCTGTCCCCAGCTGCAGGAGCATCCTGTACCCCTGCAGACAACACTAACCTATCATTGTTTTGCCCAGGCACTGAGCCCTCTTCCCCGGCCTCCAGCTCAGCCCAGACCTCAGAGGCTGCTGCCCTCAGCACACCTACAGCCCTGCCAACGCTGCTGCCAACCTGCCCCTCTGCCTCACCCAACACCAGTAAGTGCAGTGCCCCTGGGCATCACCACCCTTGGGCAGCATCAGTGCTTGGGGCCATGCAGGGGGCCCTGGAGCCCCACTGCTCTTGCTGTGCTCTCAGTTTGGGGGTGCTGCTGCTTTGGGGTACATGGGGTTGCTGTGCAGTGAGAGGCTTGTTCTGGCAGTGCAGTGTGTCCATGACACAATTTACCTGGGAGGAAGTTCCATGTCTGTGCCAGCAACCCTGGGGAGACACCCCCAGGTCCTCTGGCACAGCCCAGGGTTCAAGGGCAATAACCAGAGTCCTGTTTTTAACCCCCAGGTGCATCTCACCTGTTTCTGTCGCTGAGGCTGACCACCCCTCTGGACCTGGGGAACATCACGGTGCAGGAGCTGCTGTTGTCCAAGGTGAGGTGTGCAGGAGGAGATCCTGCATCTGCCAGCTGTGGTTCCCCCAGTCAGGGAGGGGAATGGCTGTATCTTGCATGGAATGTCAGCCAGAGCCCTTTCAGATGAAGGGGAGACCCTCCTTTGGCTGCCACAGTCCAGCATCAGGCCCTTTCTCTGTGGGGACAGAGGGAGGGAGATGTCTGGCACAGTTTGATGGCTGTTCTTTCCCCCCAGCTCCGTGAGGACCTGCAGACAGCATTCCCATGTGCTGGCCTGTCACTGGCATGGCGAGGGAAGAGGAGGACTTGACTGCTGCCCCTCACCTGGACTGCCAAGCACCTGCTCCCAGCTCCTCACTCCATGGTGGTGCAGGCCCTTGGGGAATCCCATAGAGCTCCTCTTGAACCTGGGGCTTCCTGTCCTTCACTCTGTACCCCCCGTCCCCTCCTGACCCTTCCCACAGCCTGTCTGAAGAGCCTGAGCCCTCTCACCACCCTGCTCCAGACTTGGCTCCCCCTCCAGCTCTGCTGGGGGCTGCGTGAAGGGAACCCCACAGGACTGGGCTTTTACATCTGGGACTGAGCTGCCTCAGCCATCAAAGCCACCCTGGGGACAGAGGAATGAGAGGAAGGAGACCTGAAGCCCCCAGTACTGCTGTGCCCAAGGCTCACCTGTGACATTGCTGACAGAAGAGAACACCCATGCCGGGCAGTGAATAGAAATTCCATGTTTTCTGTGTTGAAGTGATGACTTCTTTATTTTCCAAGTTGTCTCTCCCAATTTTCAGCTTTGCCATCTATTGGAGGTACCGATGAGGAGAAGTGAGTCCCCAGAGCTTTGTGTGGAGAGACGGGCTCAGTGCTGTCCCCTCCCACCAGGGGCTGCTGCAGACATTCCCAAGGATGGCTCGGCACCCCGGTGGTCTCTGCTCTGGAGCTCTCTGCCCCAAAACACCCCACAGCTGCAGGGGCAGCACTGTGGGGCTGTGGAAATCCTGTGGGCTGTGCTCCTTCCCTGTTTTTTCCAGTCCCCAACTAAGGAGACGCTGTAACATCTGACCCCCTGCAGCAAAGTCATTTATTAACTGATTAATTAGCCAGATAAAATCCAACTGAAGCAATTATTAGCCTTAGCAAGCCACCTCTCCTGGAGATTGAAAACTGAAATAATTAGCAAAATAGCCTCATTGCGTGTCAGGGGTTGTTTTTGGCTGATCCCTGCTCCTCCCTGGCAGCCCTCACTGCACAGGGAGGGCTGGGAGGGGGCGTGTGGGGCTGTGGGATTCCTAACCTGGGGACTTCTCTCAGGCTGCCTGGATTGTCAGCTGGCTGGGAAGGAGCCAGCAGCTGGACAGGATGGGGAGAGACACCGTGGGGTCACCCAGCTGCCTGCCAGTTCACAAGGCCTGGGAGAGGCTGTGCCCAGGCAGCTTGTCAGGATGCTCCCATTTAGGGTGCCCCTTGCATCCCAGGGTGGTCCCTTTGCTCTTTAGGATGCTGCCTGGTTTTTGTGGGCTCGTTGGACCTTTTGAGGCTGAGAGAGGTCCCTTGGCAGCTGGGCAAGGAGCTGGGGAGCAGGGCAAAGCCTGCTGGAAGGAGTCCCCGTGCTGGCTGCCTGGTGGGGTGCTGGGAAAGAAATCCTTGTGGTCTGCCTACGCCTTGGAGCCGGGCCAGGAGTCCTCCCACGGCGCGTCCCACTGGGCTGTTTGCTCCGGCTGCTGAATCCATAACTTCAGACCCCAGGACATGGCCGGGTGCCAGGGCCAGGGTAATGGAGCCAAACTGCGTCACAAAGGGAGGAAAAGGTCCTGAAGTGCTGGGATGAAAAGGTGATCAGGGTACTCACTGTTCCCTGCTGGCACAGCCGCCTTCCACTGCGGTCGTGGCTGGGGGCTGTGGGGGGAGGAGATGCTCTGGACCCCCTGTCACCAGCCTGGGAGGGAGGAGAGGGGCACAGAGGGAGGATGTGGCTCCCTTGGAGTGGTGTCCCTGCCCAGCAGTGGTGGCACAGAGCTCTGACAGGCCCCTGACACTGCCCTACTCTCTGTGCCTGCTGTCCTTGAGGTGCCACCCTCACCCCATGGCTGCTGGCCTGGCACAGACTGCTGACCAGAGAGGCTTGGGAGGCTGGATCCAAGTCCTGCTGCTTTCCACGTCCACAAGAGAGTTCTCAGCCTCTTTACACTGCAATCTCTCAGCACTGTCCAAAGGAACAAATCTTGTGCCCAACATGATGTCACCTTCAGAGGACCTGGCGGCATCATGGGGCATGTCTCGAGACACCCTGTGACTCAGGTGTCCCTTCCAGTGTCCCCCTTCCCTTCACCCCTGCTGATGGCTATAGCCCAGCTCCCACTCTTTGGCAGGAGGGTGTTGCAACACACCCAGCATGCCAAGTCATCCAGAACCTGTGGGGTTGATGGATAACCTGGTTTCCCCCACTGCCACCCCTGAGCCCTCTCCCAGTGCCCTTGCCAGGAGGCTGGAGGGGAGCCAGCGGGAGATGCTGTGTTCTCCACAGGACTGGAACAACCAGCCCATTAATTCCAGGAAAGCTGATAAGGCACTGTGCTGGGCCATGCTCTGCCATGCTGGATGGGGCAGAGCCCCTGGCTGCTGGGATTCATGGAATTGCCCCTGGCCACAGGCTCCTGAAGGGCTCCAGTGCCCACATGATGCTTTAGTCTTTGGTAATAGGGGATTAATGACTTTTACAGGAACCAGTGCTTTTCCAGGACCTTGGTTTCAGACACAGCAAAAGGATCAATAAGAAGCCCCTTCCCAGAGCTGTAACAGGGCACTGTCCTCAAGATCAGGCATCCCCTGATGGCTCTGGGCTTTCTTGGGAGGGTGTGCCAATGCCTGAGCAGAGGGGTGTTTTGTTTGTCAGCCCTGTCACTCTGCTGGGAGATGGGCATTTCTGGGGCACAGCTTGGGCAGCAGTGGCAGGCACAAGGGTCTCCAGGCAGTGCTGGCCTCTGTGGAGCACAGACAGGAGCTTGCAGGCAGGCTGGGGCCAGCCCTTGCTTCAGCTGAGTTGTTTTCCTCTATACTGAGCAGCATGTTTGCAACAATCCCTGTGGTTCCCACCACATTTTGCACCTCAAACACCATCTGGAGCAACACTCCCCAGCGTCAGCATGTATTCCCCGTTGGGGTTGCTCCCCTAAGTGATCCAGCATCGTCAGCACGGGCAGGAGCCACTCTCCCACGGCAGCTTTACATCTCCAAGCCTCCATCAGCCCTGGTGTGCTCATTGCTCAGGTGGTCCCGGATGGGTCAGTCACCCCCAGACCTGCAGGGCTGGTTGTCAGACCCCCAGTGCAGTGTTCTCCCCGGTGCACACCCGCGGTGGCATTTGGGTGGGCGGGTGTTCAGTTCCAGGTGAGCGAGTTCCCGGTTTATGGTCTGTGCGCGGTTCCCCTGCCGGGGGTGCTGCGGGGGTTTCACAGGACGGGTTTGCTGAGCCGTGACCCGGCCTCCCCCGGCGTTTCCCCATCCGCAGTGCCCGCTGCTGGCTCCGGGTGTCACTTGAGTGCTGCCTGCCCGGCTCCAGCGGGACACCGTGTACCGCCTAACACCCCTCATAACACTTTGCAGGAGCTGCCCGGGGGCATTTCTGGTTAAGAAGTGTTTAATTGACTACAAAACCATGTAGTGGTGGGAGTTTGCATAATGCTGTTCACAGGGGAGCTGGCAGCAGTGTTCAAGGGGGCGTGCAGGAATTGCTGCTCCAGGAGGAGGAGGGGGGTGAGACAGAGGGGTGAATGACTCAGAGGATCCCCACAGCAGGGAAGGGGATCTGGGTCTGCTCCTTTTCTGCTCCATCCCCTGAGGATGCTGGTCCAACCTTGCAGAGAAGCTTCCATGGACCATTTACCCCCTCCCAGCACCCCAGCACTGCTGTGCTCAGCCTGAGGTGCAGGTTTCAAACCCCACTGGGGTGTGCTGGGGCTCTGAAGAGGGATCCCCAGGGCTCCCAGTTGCAGCTGAGCACTGTGGAGTTCAACTGACACCCCAGGGCCTCGCCCCAGCCATGCTTCTCCCTGCTTTATAACCTGCCACTGCCCTGGGGGAGCCAGGTGGAGACCTGTGTCCTGCCTTGCTCTGGGCTGAGACGTGGCTCAGCTGGTGATTTTAGTGTCCATGGTGTCCTCACAGGCATGGTGACACCAGCTGGCACTGCCCTGTCACCACCACACACTGCTCTGTGGCACCATACCCTGTATGTGGAGCAGGATCTGTGGGGTGACTGCCGTGGGGAACAGGCTGTGTGGGATCACTGGGGTGACTGCCATGGGGAACAGGCTGTGTGGGATCAATGGGGTGACTGCCATGCCCCTGTTGGCAGTGCCACACACGGCTCTGGGCTCACCTTCACCTTCAGGTGCTGGTAGCCCAGGGAGCTGCACCAGGCTGAGCCTGGGGAAGGTGGGTCCCTGCAAGGTGGGCTTTGGGTACTCCCAGCCCATGCCCAGCTGAGCAGGGCATCCAGCCCCTGGGCAGGGGAGGGCTCCACCGGAAGGGAAGGGTGACAGGGACATTGGAGGGAAGGGACTGGGGGCGGGAGAGGACGTCCCCAACCTGCCTCCTCCTGCCATCCCTATAAATGGGAGGGAGCAGGAGCAGGAGCACCTGTGGGACTCCAGCTCTGCAGGAGAGGCAGGCAGGGAGGGACGGAGGGAGCTGCTCCCTGCTGCTCTCTCCTCCCTTTGAGTTTCCTGCTGCTCTGCCCGTGTGGAGGCCTGAGGCATGGGGACCAGGGCATGGACGCTCTCCACGCTGATGGGATGCTGCGCCTGGATTCTGCACGGTATGTCCTGTATTCTTCTGCTAGCCCATGTGCTCCAGGGTGCAGCACGTACTCTGTGAGATGCTTTTCTCTCCTGGCTGTACTGGAAACACCTCTTAGGACCAGTCCTTGCAAGGCATTGCAGCCAAAGAGCTGCAAAAGCATTTTACAAGGCAGGCATCACCCCGAGGGGCTGCCTGCAGGTGTGGGGCCGTGGGAGAGAGGAGAGCCCAGCCCCAAAGCCTGCAGGCAGATCTGTGCCCCTCCAGCAAAGGAGCCAAGGGAAGGCAGCTGGCAGAGCAGGACCCAGGGATGCTCCCATCCCTCCCACGTCCCAGGGAAGAGCAAATGCTGGTGCTCCATGCTGGGGCTCCTCTTGCACAAACTTCCCATGAATGGGTGCGTGGGGTCGATGGCGTTTCCTGCTCCACATTGAAGAATCAAGAAAAAACAATGATTTACCAGGGTGAGAGGGCCGAACTAAACTGGGGTGACTTTGATGTACTTTGTTTTCCCTGAGATGGGGAGGGAAGTTGCTGAGCTCCTTTGGCTGAGGGGGCTGCTACAAAGAGCCTTTTCCAGCCAGGGAAGATGACACTGAAACAGCCTGCCAGGAAAGGGAATGTGGGTCTAGCAGAGGACGGACCCCTGGAGGACTGCTCTGGCACAGGGGCTGATGTTCATTAATGACCCTGCACAAGCTATCTGAGAGCTGATGAGCTGAGCCTGCGGTGAGGCTGGAGGCACCTCTGCTGCAGGGAGATCTGTCAGGGGGAACCTGATGAACTGGAGCACCGGGATTGGGAACAGGCTGGGGCTGTCAGGCTGTGGCAGAGCCCTGCTGGATCTTGCCATCGGGGTGCCCTTGGTCTCCCCTAATTGGAGCTCCCTAAAGCCAAGCGTCAGCAGATCCAGCCGGCTCCTCACGGAGCCAGCAGCAGCACCTTGGTGGCCCCAGAGCCTGTGTCCCTGTCCTGAAAATGAGACCGTGTGAAACATCACCCATGGGTGCCCGCAGGTTCTGGGAGACACGTCTGCGATGTGGGCAAGTGTCTCCTCCTTTCTCTAGAGCTCCTGGATGTGGGCAAGGATTTTGGCAGCAGGAGGAGAGAACTGTAAGAAGGGCTTGGTCCTGGGAGCTTGCAAATATTCCTACATGGGTGGGGAACCCCTGGTGCCTTCACTCAGCTGGAGGCAAGAGGGATGGGGGCAGGAGCAGGCAGGCACCCAGCCCAGGAGAGTTTTATCGAACCTGCTTGAAGTGCAGCAGATCAGAATCCATCTGCATGCAGTCAGGGAAGGCGTCCCTAAGCCTTGGCTTTCCTGTCTGACAAAGAGCTTTGTGTAAAGTCATTTAAATGTCCCTCAGACACTCAAAAGGTGAAAAAACACAGAACCCCCCAGGCTCTGCAGAAGCCACTGTGCTCAGAGCTGTCCTTGCAGTGATGGAAAGAGGGCTGAGGGCTGCCCTGGGGTGGCAGAGCTCCACAGACACCCCCAGGGCTACCAACCAGACTTAGCTCCAGCCCTAGCCAGTGGCCAGGCACCCCAGCACCATCCCCAGCATGAGTGGACTGGGTTTCAGCAGGTGCTTTTCCTCCCTGCTTGCACCAGTGTCTCCCTCTGAGCTGCCATGAGTTGTGTCTGGCCTCAGCTGCCAGCTCCTGATGCTGAGGATGCAATGTGCAGGGCTGTACCCAAGGCAGCCCAGACTGCACTCCTTGGCTTTGAAATCAGGGCCTTGTAGGGCTGTGGGATGAGACAGAAGAGGTTTAAGAAATGGTGGAAGCTTCGAGATTCTCACAGAGAGGTGTCTGAGCTGGCAGGCTGCCAGCTCCAGCTCCCACTGTAACACTCCCCTTTGTGCTTCTCTGCAGGGCTTGGGGCTGTTACTGCTGTCCCCGTCACCACCGACGGGTCCTTCACTGTGGGGACAGCCTTCCCCATGACAACAGAGGACGAGTGGCCCCAAACCACAGAGAGGAGTGCCACAGCAGCTGATGCTGAGACCTTCCCTCCCTGGACTGAGATGGACCCAGTGATGGCTACGAGCGAGTACAGCCCTTCAGTGGCAGCTCTGGGGAACGAGACCAAGGCTCTGAACACGACTCAGAGTAATGAGGGAAGATCTGCTGCTCCCAATATGGCCACGACTGCTGCTGCCATCACTGCACAGCACCCCGCTGTCACCCCAGAAGCAGCACAGGATGAACCAGAGGTCCCTCCTGATGTCCCTCACGGGACCACCTCTGTCCTTGAGGATGTGAAGGAGGACATCACTACAGACCCCAGTCCTGGCGCTGCATCCCTGCACAGCACCCCTCCCCTGGCAGTCACCTGGGTGCCACAGCCAACTGCTGGTGTCACTGTGCTGCCCGGCCAAGGGCTGAACACTGCCCAGGGAGTAGTGCAGGAAGGTGAGATCCTGCCCGAAGATATCCAAAGTGAAGCCAGTGCCAGCTCCTCGGGCTCCAGTCCTGGCGCTGGGGAGCTGATTCCAGCCCAGCAGGATGGAGCAGTGGGTGGGGCTGAGGGCATCAACCCAGGGGCAGCAGGAGAAACGGCCCCAGCTGGTGAGGAAAGTCCCTTGGCTTCAGAATCTGGAGATCCAGGAGACGCAATAAATGATGAACTCAGCACAGCCAGCTCATCCCACCTACCTGCAGAGAGCCCAGTGCTGTCAGGAACAGTGGAAAGCCCCGGGAAGTCCTCCCTCCTCCCCAGCCCGGTCACTTCGCTGGCACCATCCGATGGTGGGGATGGGGATGGGCAGGGAGCTCCCGGGATGCCAACAGACGCTCCTGGTTCAGCCTTACCGCCTGCACCAGCGGCGCCCGAGGAAACAGAGGACGCTGCCACCTCCGTGCCGGCACCAGGGGCTCCCACTGCGGCACAGAGCGACACCAATCTCCCCGTCTCGGCCGCTGCCCTGCCCGCAGGGGATGTGGGAGCTGTGGATCTGGCCAGTCCATCCCTCCAGCCTGCCCCATGGCAGACCCCCGCTGGAGAGCAGCCACTGCTGCTTCCTGATGCTCTGACATCCCCCACAGACACCCCCAGTGCTCCTGGGGATGCTCACCCAGCCCCAGAGGCTGGAGCCAGCGCCCTGCCTGACTCTGATGCTGCAGCACAGACACCAGCAAGTCCTGACCTCGCTGGTGGCCCAGAAGCAGCCGTGTCTCCATCTCCTGGGGAGTCACAGCCAGCTGGAGCCCCCCAGGATGCTGATGGACTTGGCACTGGCTTGAGTTCAGATTCAGGTGCCCCCAGCTCAGCACCTTTTGTACCTGATGGACTGGCCCGGCCCACTGCTGGGATCCAGGGCCAGGGAGCTGAGGGGACAGGGGACATGCCACTGGCAGAAGGGTCAGGGGATGCCAGTCCCTATGAAGATACCCAGAGTGACATGAGTCCTCCAACCCTTCAGCCCTCAGGATCTCCTGCTGATAATGGAGAGCTGCTGACCGGAGGAACAGA